CTCCAGCCTTCTCAGTCAGTAGAGCATGGAAAACTAAAAAGTCCTTGGCTAGTGTAAGCGTTACCTAGCAACAACTAAAACATCGGTGCGTTATCAACTTTGTTCTCATCCTAAATCCAAAACACAGCATTGTACCAGCTACTAGGAAGGAAATTAACTGTCCCTGCCGAAACGAGGACACTGACGCTAGCCAGCTGGATGACCACTGCCCTATGAGAAACTGGGGAACTACACCACTGTTTTGTATTCAGCCTGCCTGTGTAAAGTGGGAGTAATGATAAACCTCTTCTGCAGAGAGGCAGAAATGTATAGTGCTCAGAAGTGCTCGGTGCTCCCTACTGACACAGGTGAGACTGCTTCTACAACACAGAGCTGGTTCTACACTATCAGTAACAACGATGAACTGGAGCAAATATGATTTATGAGGAAAAGTAAGAACCCTGTAAAGATATTGGTGGTATCTCACTTAAACCTGGCCCTGTTTCAAGGTGGTGGGAATAGATGAGATGACTTCCAGAGGTCCCTTCCAATCTAAATAATTCCACAGTTCTTAAGTAGGCTATAGGCAAGAGAACAGCTGAGACAGATTCTTTTAGGGGTGGATGGCGTAAAGACCACTGCCACAAGCAAAGCTCACACCTGAGCTTAAGAAGGGGTTTTCAAGACTGTCTCCAACCTAAAGAAATGGCTGGAAGGCTTCTCTTCCCCTAATCATGACAAGAGACAGCAGAACCGTAAATACAAATGCATGTAATCCAAATGACATTTATAAAGCACTTGAATGGCCAAAGAGAACTATCATTTCTTATTAGACAGTACATCACCACAGACAAAATAATGCTGTGGTTACAGTGGGTGAAGAAACTTGAGTTTGAAGAGCTGAAAGAAAAACTTCCTGCAACAATGAGCTCTACTGGAACAGGAGAGTCTGTTGGCAAAAGACCCAGGAAAGGGGAAGCAGAGAATATTGTTCTTAGTAATTTGATTAGGTGCAATATTAGAGCATGCATAGCTTATATTCACCACAGTGGCCTTCATACAAGCAGTATATAGTAGTAAATATCTTTTGTGACTTTTTTTTTTTTACCTTAAAAGAAATCAATTTTTTATTTAAGTATTGGCAATGAGGTTATATTAAAGCAAATGTCTTAGCCTCCTTTTTACATGTGTCTGCATATATAGTTAGCTGCACAGGAATTTATTAGACATTGTATTATTAGAATCTTCTTTCACCTTTTCCTTATGAAAATCCCCACAAAAGAAACCAAATTCTTTCAATTGCTTTTTGAGTTCATGAATTCAGACTCCATCGTTTGAGATAAAGTTAAAGCATGGCATTTGAATGCCAAATCAAAACCAGTATAAAATTGAACATTTTCAAGGACTTCGTTCAATAATCATAAGTGGGAAACACAAGCTGAATATTGCACAGAACAGCAAAAATCCCCAGAGCTGTTGGCTAAACAGCCTCAATTACCATTGCTTACTTAAGACTGACAAACTGCTAGATACGAAGTTCTGCTTGATATCAAGTAGCAATAAAATCCGTTAGCTTTAAGGACTGAGTTAACAGAGGAGCACTGTATTCTGCAACATGATTTTGTTCACATCGCAAATATCTTATGCAGTAATAGTAAGCTTATGAAAGAAAAAGTACATTACTTTATAAATCAGTATCACATAACATCAGCTGCCATTTCTCAGAACATGAACAGAACATTCATTACATTTGACAAAACCATTATAATGAAGTTATTTTAACCATTTTAATGACACTATTGGCAACAGTCAAAGCATTTATTACCAATGGTAGTAGTAATACCATCGTTTATAAAGGTTTGGTTGTTTCTATAGCAACATGAATTATAAGGTCCAATCAAGCTAGATACAATAAAATATGCTCTTTTTCTCCATAACACCAGTTGTCATTCAGTTAAAAGGAAATTACATATTTTAAAAATTCATAAACTCTACAAATGTCTGAACTCCATTTGGTGATAAGGCGTTAATTATCTTAGTAATTAGATTTCTTCCTGGATGGAATTATTACACACAAAGAAAAGCTAGGGTATGAAAAGAGAATAAGGACCACAGTGTATTCAGCAACAGCAATTAATTACAGTTCAATCCAGTATGACTGCCTAAAATATGACATTGCATAGTGCATTTTTATACCACTGTCAATTATATTGTTTAAAAAGTAGTTTTAAAAGGGGAGAAAAGCATGAGATTTCACTCAGAATAAAATCCAGTTACTGACAAAAATCAAGCTCTTAGCCTTTCTCAAAGCACTGACGAACAAAAATAAGTACAACTAGTTCCATATGCGAAACATCATTCCTTAATGAAAAAAGAGGAAAAAAAGATATAATTGTGGAAAAAATATAAAACACATATACACTTGAAAATTAAAGCAACCTTTGCTCTGACAGTCTGAAAGGAAGCAGCACAAAATTCCTTATTGCGTAGATTCAGATGATGTTTAAAAAATTGTCCCAGCTATGAAATACAATGCAAAATTACACAAGAACCAATTTCTTGTGCATCAGCCAATACTAAATTGTTTTTTGAAATGAAATGCCGTTTATCTATTCTGAAGTAAACAAAGAAAAAACTGAACATCCCCAGTAAGCATTTTGTAACATTTATTACATAAAG